TACATATATATACACATTTTAGCATAAGTGTATAGTTACCCTCTGACCAGGAACACCAGCATTTCCTGCTTCTCCAGGTTTTCCAGGGTCACCCTAAAGAATAAATGAAGCTATTCCAAAATCCAATCAATTTGCTAAAAACATGCCTGTTCCAAATGAGGATTGTGATGAGATTATTATACACTGTACTCACACTGCTACCTTTGGGGCCTGGAAGGCCCATGCTCCCAGGCTGCCCTCTGATTCCTATGGAGCCCGGAGGACCTGGACGGCCGTCTTCCCCTGGAGCACCCTAAGGAATTGACAGGAGCCATGTGAATTTTACCTAAGTTCTCTGTAAATATCATCTCACCAACTGTCACTTGCCTTTGTTTACTATAAAAGTTATATAAATTTTAAGTTATCCTACATTTTTATCCTAATGAATCAGAACAGTCAAGTATTTCTTAAAAGTGAAGTATTTTGAGTATTTAGAACAGAGATTTTATTCTCTTGACATTCACACTAATAGGAAAAATCTCTTCTTTCATTTAATCTGGTTTGCAGTAATAAAAATTCAGGACTTCTATTTCATACTCACTACAACATAAGGGAACAGTTCAGAATACATAGCTGTCAAAATTCATGCCTATGTATCTTTTAAACATGTAAAATTAGAAGAACATCAAGAAATGAGGATATCTCTAACAGACAAATTTTATCAATATTAAAAAATACATCATTCAAATTTTTCTCTGATGTCAGGGAAGCAATCTCAGCCTCGAACATTTAACTCAATAAAATTAGATCTTTTCGGTCATTTTGAAAACACATTGATCCTAAAAATTTTCTTCAAAGTGCTTTTAAACATGTAAACATGTTCAGCATCCACATGATCGAAAAAAATTAACCCTTAATGAATATCTTATCATTTAAGTTGTATGTCTACTGAGAAATATTAATAGTTGTGCACTTTTGTTTAAATTACTTACCAAAGGTCCAAGTTTTCCTTCAGGACCTTGAACACCAGGATTTCCTGTCAGACCCTAAAAGTGAAAAGCAACTGTCAATGTGTTGCTGACCTGCAATTGAAGTAAAGATTTTAAAGAGTAAAAATAGTGGTGTATTGTTGACAACTGAATTAGAAGGACAATTCCATCGTTCAAATGAATTTTCAAGTGACGTTTTGTTAAAATGAAATTTGTCGAGAGTTCTCTTGATAAATTCTCTTGTTAAGTTGTAAGTAAAGAAAAATTTTAAAAAGGTAACAAATGGGATATTAGAAGGACAATTCCATCGTTCAAATGAATTTTCAAGTGACGTTTTGTTAAAATGAAATTTGTCGAGAGTTCTCTTAATAAATTCTCTTGTTAAGTTGTAAGTAAAGAAAAATTTTAAAAAGGTAACAAATGGGATATTTTTGTCATGTCAAGTGGTAAAGCTATTTATAAATACTACTTTGAGGAAGAAAAACTAAAAGTGACTATGTTTTCTATACATGATAAAAGTAACACACCAGTATTTAAAAAATAATGAATTAGGTTAAAACCATAAAAACAAGGAAATATTATGAAAGCGAGCTAAATTAAACAAACAAGCCCTTCAATGAATGCTCAGGAGCATTTCTCCTGGGTTGATATAGCAAATAACTGCTGTGTTCTTACCCGAGCACCTGGAAGTCCGGGTTCGCCTGGACGTCCTGGGTCCCCCTGGCCTCCTTTAGGTCCTGACGAACCTACAGGACCCCGCTCTCCTTGAGCACCCTGTTCCAAAGCAAAGCAGACATGTCACAAAAAGGAGTGCAGAGAAACAAAAGCAAGCATAAATAAAATTCTTGTTTACAAATCAAGGCACTAATATTACACACAAATATTTTGTCAAAATAGTTACAAAGCCTTCTTTGAAAACAATGTCATTGCACATTTTGTTCTAATTTGGATTTCTTATACAGTAGAGGTTTTTCATCATTCACTAATGAAAGTTATGTTTACAGGCTCACTCCAATAACACATTTTTTTTAAAAAACAGAACTTTAAAAGAGTCCAAATTCTTTAAAGGAAAATATATATGTACAAAATATACATAATTATATATTTAAAAACTAAAGAAAAAAACATATATAAGCTAAAGTTCTATAACCTATTCTTATTAGGAATGTCCCTGAAAAGTTGGAAAAAACTCCCAAATTCCTCTATCATCCTTCTCCCCTAGACCTCTTAATGCAGAAATTGCACAAGAGGAGTTTGGGGTAGGCCTCACGTGTGTCCATCTCCTTTCTGGATCTGGACCCATGTGGGCCACAGCTGGATGACCACTCTGGAAAATGGCATCCTTTGGAGCACCACCCACATGAATACCAACATTGATGGGGTAATCTCACCTTGGGCCCAGGTAAACCATCAGAGCCTGGAAAACCACGATTGCCAGGAGCACCCTACAAATAACCAAAATGTGATTCTTAATTGTTGTTGATATTTTTATAACGTACAAACGGGTAATTTTCTAATTTTAGTAATAGAAGGTTATAGGGGCTATGATCAAACCAACACAGCAATAGATATGAATAAGAAAATAAAATCTGAGTAGACAAGATAAATTTTAAATTTTGAAGAATATATTAAGCACTAATCCAAATAATTATTCAAATGAAAAAAATACTCTAACAATCTATTGTAAACAGAGAAGAACTGATATCTAATATGAGAGGCAAAGTCATGATCTACAGCAATGAAAATGTCAACAATGACATGCATTAATGTTGTCTTGTATGTGAAGCCCTTTGCATTCTCTGAAGCTCTATACAAATGAGAGATTATTGTGATCCCTTTCAGACCTGTTTCATTGCACTACAGTCCCAGCAGCCTCTTTTGAGCTTTAAGATCACTAAGTTCTTTCTGGCCTCCTGGTTTGCAGTTGCTTTTCCCTCGGCTAGGAATGTTCTTGTTCCCAAGTTCTCTTGCTGGCTCATCCTCATCTTCAGGTCTCAGCTAAAATGCTGTCATCTCAGAGGTCCCTATATCCTAACCACCTAATCTAACTTTATCCCACTGACATATACCTGTAGTTATGCTCTACCACATCACCCTGTTACTTAATGTGTATATAGGACTTGTTAAAATGTGTGGATATGTTTTTACTTACCTGTTGACTTTTTTATTGTTTACCTCCCCACTAATGTTTACTAACCCTGACATGAAGACTGGAACCATAGCCTTCTTGTTCACTGGTGTATCCCAAGCACCAATACCTCAAATTGCCATAAAGAAGTTGTTCAATAAATATTAGTTGAACACATGAATGAAGAATGATTAGACAGTTGGCTCCTTTTACTCCCAGATAACAAAGCCAAACTGTGCGATGTTGGGCTACGCCCGGGCCGCCAGCCATTTTGGGAAAGTACCTCAGCCATTTTAAACTTGCTTCGGGCTGATTCTGGGAAACCGAAACCTAAGCGGAGAACTCAAAACTTAAAAGAACTAACTTCCGGGGTACGGTGACTCTGCACTTTTTCCTGCCTGCCCTGTCCTCACCCCTCCTCCCGGGTAGCAGTGTGTCAACTCCCTATGGGATAAGAGCTCCCCCGCCCCTGGTACCTTATAAAAACCCCTGCTTGCTGTAATAAACAGAGTTCCAGCTTTGACCGCTCTCCTGGCTCGGTGTTCTTTCTTTGGCCCCGGGGCCGAAGCGGGGGCGAAGCGCAGAGGGGATCGGGCCTGCGACACTCATCATCCCGCTCAGCCCCACAAGAGGTTACCACCGGCTGGTCCCTCTGCACTTTTTTCCCGCCTGCCCTGTCCTCACCCCTCCTCCCGGGTAGCAGTGTGTCAACTCCCTATTGGATAAGAGCTCCCCCGCCCCTGGTACCTTATAAAAACCCCTGCTTGCTGTAATAAACAGAGTTCCGGCTTTGACCGCTCTCCTGGCTCGGTGTTCTTTCTTTGTCCCCGGGGCCGAAGCGCAGAGGGGATCGGGCCTGCGACACTCATCATCCCGCTCAGCCCCACAAGAGGTTACCGCCGGCTGGTCCGGGGTCCCCTCCCGCCCTGTGTTGTTGGTCCCCGGTGGCGAGGAACCAACAGTGCGAGGCACCTGCAAGCATTTATCTTAACTGCTCTAGTTTTCTTTACTACCCCCAAACTGACTCATGTAATTCCCCCACAACTATAAGAATGTAATTTATTATTTAAATTTACCCTTTCTCCCACTGGGCCTGGAGGACCAACTGTTCCTGGATCACCTCGGGGACCTCTTTTGCCTTCTTCACCAGGTGGGCCTATTGGACCCTGAATACCATGTGGCCCCTATTAAAAATAGAAGGACAGTCACCAGAAAGAGCCATCAGACAAGTGGGTTACAGCTGGAAAACTCATTTAATGAAGTCTGTCACACGTATTGAAGTATATTGAACAAACTACTTCCATCCCAAGCTATTATAATTCTTGTTGTTATTATTTTAAATACTTGATCATTTTGAGCTGTACACTTCTCAACAATATTTATGCTCTTATCATTAAAAAAAAAAGTGAAGCCTTACTGGTTCCCCTTTTGGGCCAGCTTCTCCTTTGAAACCTGGAACTCCTGGGTCACCCTAAAATAAAAATATCAATACTTGCTAAGAACCAGAACATTTAACCAAGCCAACCTGCTCTAATTTATTACAGTGAATAAGCTTTAAAAATTCTCTATAGCTGAGTTGTATTGAATCAGTAGTATAATAAAAATCATTTTTAAAATTTTGCAAATCTTGCAGAATATGTGAATTTTTATAATATCCTATGCAATTTGGTAGCAGTTTATTTCACAGTGGTCTTCAAGATATTTAGTTTACAATTTTTTCATACGTACTAGAATCATTATTATTCAGTTATTCAAATTTGATAATTAAAATTAGAACCAACAATGACAACTTCCATAGATAAATCTATTAAGGGTTTATTTTAGAATATAAAATTGTTCACCAAGAATCAAAATAATTTTATGTTAATGTTCTATTTATTGAGATTTTGGCAACTTCAGATAGGGCATTTCACCTTTGGAGTGTTCTGGGATTTTCTGTATATGTGTCCTTAAACACAAACTGTAGTTTATGTTGCAGGAACCAGGTACTTAAGTTCAGAACATGATAAAATCAAATGTGACATACCAGCAACACTCATGTTTTAATAAATCTGTTACCAACCCTTAAAAAGGATTTATCAGCATGACCACATTACTTGGAACAGAATCTAAAATATTTGTTTAAAGTAGTACTAGGAAAGAAAGTTTTTATTTTTATACATTAAGCTAAAAGCTATATAAACATAAAGCTTCTCAATATGTTTATTTCTTATGGCTTATAACAATATTTTTCCAAATAAATAATTTCTTATGGAAACTCATTCAATTTGAACAATATGTTGAATCACTCTTCAATAATAACTCTCAAGAAATAGCTGTTGAGGGCCGGCCCCGTGGCACACTCGGGAGAGTGCAGCACTTGGGAGCACCACGGGTTCGGATCCTATATAAGGATGGCCAGTGCACTCACTGGCTGAGCACAGTACAGGCGACACCAAGCCAAGGGTTGCATCCCCTTACCGGTCACAAAAACGACAAAAAAAAAAAAGGCGGGTTCGGATCCTATATAAGGATGGCCAGTGCACTCACTGGCTGAGCACAGTACAGGCAACACCAAGCCAAGGGTTGCATCCCCTTACCGGTCACAAAAACGACAAAAAAAAAAAAGAAATAGCTGTTGAGCCCATTTTTAACCAAGTTGTCATTATAAATCTCTATTAAACCTCCACATTTCCTCACACTGGCTTGCGATATATTTTCATGACATTTATCATTCAACTATTTACAGAATTCTATAACATGACCAATGAATTTATGACTATATTATTTTAAATTTAAAAACACTAAAATTCAACATACTGCAATAATGTTCCATTCAGAATTCAAACATTTAAATTGCACATTAATGTTTGACTTTCACTTTACAAAGATTCTAATTTTCATTTCCCTCATTTGTGTGTCACATTATTCATGTGTCATTGTATCACATCACATATGATTTCTCTTGGCTCTCTTTGTTGGATTACAGTAAAGGATAATATTTGTTTCAAATACATTACCGGTTGGCCTCGAATTCCCGTAGGTCCAGTGCTACCCTGAGGTCCTGGAGATCCAGGGGGCCCTGGCAATCCAGGAGGTCCAGATGCACCTGGAGAGCCCTATCAGACAGCAAGAATGGCATGATGAGCAGAAGCTCAGGTAGCAGTCCAGGGTCAATGTCCAAAGGACCATGTCCATTTGAACTTCACGTGACATAAATGCAGTTACTCACCGTTGGGCCTTTGGCACCAGGTGTACCATCAGTTCCCATTGCACCCTAAAAGGCACATAAAAAATCATGAAATATTAAGGGATATCTAGACACATACTCAGATGTCCACCCATCTTCCAAGAGGAGGCAAAAAAATTGCAAAAAAATAAATTGACCACCATTATATCATAAAAATCACCTCTATGTCTAATTCCCTTCTACATAAGATAGGCAAAGTTGACAAAGGAAATGTGTTTTTTCATGAGTTTTAAGCACTCATTCAGAATTCAAAGAGAATATATTAAAATAGGCTGCATTAGCTCTGATGTTATAAAAAGTCTCCAGTTTCCTGGGCAAGTTTTTAGATAGGATAGAAGATACTTACAGGAAGACCTTGAGAGCCAACTGGACCTGGTGGCCCAGTTTCACCTCTCTGCCCCTGAGGACCTTCAGGGCCTCGTGCCCCAGTAGGACCTGCATCTCCCTAAAGGGGTGCAAGGGGAAATGTTAATTTAAGAAAAATATAACAGTAGTGTGGTACAAAGTTGATTGCTTTTTTGGAGTTTTACATTTTAAACTAAATATTTACAGGGGCCAAGAGCACAAAGAAGTTTACCAGGGATGTGTGCCTCACCTAGTGTAAGGAGTGGACTCACCTCCCCACCCACTTCTTATGTGAGAATGCTGGTGGCTTCTTAACTAGGAATATTCTTCACATCCCAATCTCCAGTTATAGCATCCTACACATCCACCAGGGTCAGCTTACGTTCTTTCTCCTCTGAACCTCCACAAAATCTAGAAGTTTTTTCTTTTAACCACATCTATCAGATTTTTTCATTTATTAGGTATTTAACATTTGAGAAAATCTAGATTCATAATGAAAAACTATAAACAGCCCTACACCAGGCACTACCAAGTTACTCAAAGAATGACAGTAGATATTCTTCCCCTACAGTTTGCTTTTAACATGTTCTTAGACAAATTTTCAGGTCCTTCAAGCCCACTTCAATATAAACAGCAGAAGGACATTCAGACTCTTTAAACAACACAAATCAAATGAGGGAGAGAAATTGACCCGATCCACCATGCTTGCAGTTGTCTCTGTTAAATGTAAGCCTAAATTTTTCAAGTCTAGTGATGCACCATACTTGATGTGGGCATCAGAAGAAAAATCAATTTATTTCCTAATGTCTCAAAAAAAAAAAAA